GGGAGCGCAGCAGCGCTCCCGCCACGGGGATTCATATAATCTGCAAACAGGGACAGTTTGACTTCATCCTTTCCAATCTGGATGCCCTTTATTTCCTTCTCTTCTCTGATTGCTCTGGCTAGTACTTCCAACACTATATTGAATAGGAGTGGTGAGAGTGGGCATCCTTGTCTAGTTCCTGTTCCCAATATCCAGGATGATATTGGCAGTGGGTTTATCATATATGGCTTTAATTACGTTGAGATACTTTCCATCTATACCTAACTTATAGAGAGTCTATATCATGAACGAGTGTTGAATTTTATCAAATGCTTTTTCAGCATCTATACAGATGATCATATGGTCCTTTGATTTTATTGATATATGGTGTATCACATTTATTGATTTGCATATGTTGAACCAACCTTGCATCCCTGGGATGAATCCCACTTGATCATGATGTATAATTTTGCATATGTGTTGCTGTATTCTGTTAGCTAGTGTTTTATTGAGGATATTTGCATCTATATTCATCAAGGATATTGGCCTGTAGTTTTCTTTTTTAGTTGTATCTTTACCTGGTTTTGGTATCAGGGTGATATTTGCTTCATAGAATGAGTTTGGGAGAATTGCCTCTGTTTCAATCTTTTTGAATAGTTTGTAGAGAATTGGTGTCAATTCTTCTTTGAATGTTTGGTAGAATTCTGCTGTGAATCCATCTGGTCCAGGACTTTTCTTTGTTGGGAGCCTTCTGATAACAGCTTCAATCTTTTTTATTGTTATTGGTCTGTTCAGATTTTCTACCTCATCTTGGCTCAGTTTTGGTAGTTTTTGTGTGTCCAGGAATCTATCCATTTCCTCCAGATTTTCAAATTTGTTGGCATATAGTTGTTTATAGTAGTCTCTAATGATTCCTTGTATTTTGGAGGTATCAGTCGTAATATCACCTTTTTCATTTCTAATTTTTGTTATTTGGGTCTCCTCTCTTTTTTTAGTTAGCCATACTAATGGTTTGTCAATTTTATTTATATTTTCAAAAAAACAACTTTTTGATTCATTGATCTTTTGTATCATTTTTTTGGGTTTCAATTTCATTAAGTTCTGCTCTGATTTTAATGATTTCTTTCCATCTTCTAACTTTGGGTTTGGATTGTTCTTATTTTTCCAGTTCTTTAAGGTGAAGTATTAGGTTGTTCACTTGCCATCTTTCCATTCTTCTGAAGTAAGCATTTAATGCAATAAATTTCCCACTTAGTACTGCTTTTGCAGTATCCCACAGATTTTGGTATGATGTATCATTGTTTTCATTAGCTTCAATAAATTTTTTGATTTCCTGTTTGATTTCTTCTTGGACCCGTATGTCATTAAGTAGAATGCTGTTACTTTTCATGTGTTTGTATAGTTTCCAGAATTTCATTTGTTATTGATTTCTAATTTTAATCCATTGTGGTCTAAAAAAATACATGGGATAATTCCAATTTTTTTGAATTCATTGAGACTTGATTTGTGACTTAACATGTGATCTCTACTGGAGAATGATCAATGTGCTGATGAGAAGAATGAATATTCTGAGATTGTTGGATGGAATGTTCTGTAGATATCTGCCAAGTCCAATTGGTCTAAAGTGTTGTTTAGATCTTGTCTTTCTCTGCTGATTCTTTGCCTAGATGACCTGTCCAATATTGATAGTGGGGTGTTCAGGTCCCCTGCTATTATGGTATTAGTGTCTATTTCCCTCTTTAGGTCTATTAGAGTTTGCTTTATAAATCTGGCTGCTCTGACATTGGGTGCGTATATATTGTTATGTCTTCTTGATGGATCACTCCTTCTATCATTATGTAGTGGCCTTCATTATCTCTTTTTATGGTTTTTAGTTTAAAGAATATTTTATCAGATATAAGAATAGCTACTCTAGCTCGTTTTTCATTTCTGTTTGCATGGTAAATCTTTTTCCATCCTTTCACTCTTATTCTATGTGTGTCTTTATAGGCAAGGTGGGTCTCTTAAAGGCAGCATATAGTTGGGTCCTCCTTTTTAATCCAGTCAGCCAGTCTGTGTCTTTTGATTGGGGAATTTAATCCTTTTACATTAAAAGTTGTTATTGAAAAGTGTTGATTTACTCCAGGCATTTCATTGATTTTTGTTTGGATGTCTTAAGTGTCTTTTGTTCCTTTCTTTCTGAATTACCTTTTGTCTTCTGTATTTGTTGGTTTTTTGGGTTGTAGATACACTTTTTTTTCTATTCATTGTTGGCATTTTTATTTTACTAGTGGGCTTTGATTTTTCTTGGGTTTTTATGGCAGTGTTAGTTGCTTTTCAGGTATCAAACTCAGTACTTCCTTGAGAATTTCTTGTAAGGGTGGTCATGTGGTAGTGAACTTCTGCAGTTTTTGTTTGTCTGAGAAATATACTATTTGTCCTTCATTTTGGATGGATAGCCTTGCGGGGTAGAGTATTCTTGGCTGGCAATCTCTGTCTTTTAGTATTTTGAATATATCATCCCATTTATTTCTGGCTTTCAGGGTTTGTGATGAAAAGTCTGATGTTACTCTGATTGGGGCTCCCTTATACATGATCTGACGCTTCTCTCTTGGAGCTTTTAAGATTCTCTCCTTGTCTTTGAGTTTTGCCACTCTGACTATAACATGTCTTGGAGAAGACCTTTTTGGGTTGAATATAGTTGGGGATCATTGAGCTTCCTGAATCTGAAGATCTGTGTCTTTTCCTATACCTGGGAAATTTTATGCCACTATTTTGTTGAGTATGTTTTCAATGCAATCTCCTTTTTCCTCCCCTTCTGGAATACCCATGACTCAGATATTTGAATGCTTTAGGTTGTCTGATATCTCTCTTAGATTATCTTCAATGTTTTTAATACTTTTTTCTTTTTCTTTGTCTACCTTATTTCAAACAGCCCATCTTCAAGGTCAGAAGTTCTCTCTTCTGCTTCTACAAGCTTGCTGGTTAAACTCTCTGTTGTATTTTTTATTTCATTGAATGAATTCTTCAGCTCGGCCAGCTCTGCTACAATCTTTTTCAGGGCATTGATTTCCTTGTACATTTCTTCTTTCAGGTCCTGTATACTTTTCCTCATTTCATTGTGTTGTCTAGCTGAGTTTTCTTGTATCTCATTCAGTTTCCTTAGAATTATCACTCGAAATTCCTTGTCAGACATTTCATGGCCTTCTTGTTCCATAGTACCTAAAGCTTAAGAGTTATTACCTTTTAGTGGTGTACTTTCTTGATTTTCATATTTCTTGTATCTTTCCTTTAATGTTTAGTCATTGTGGCAAGGGATTTCATGGTCCACTGGTTTGACACTATTGTCTGGCTAGGATCCTGCTGGGGCTGCCAATTTGGCACATCTCCCTCAGTGTCTACTCGGTCACATGCTGTAACATGCTCAGTCACGTGGTCACCTCGGGTCTTGGGCCTCTCTGGGGAGGTGCCTCTCTGGTCGGCATGCACTTGGCCAGGCTGGGGATGGGGTCTGGCAGCAGCGAGGTCTTCCTGCTAGGTCATGCACTGGTGCCACAGGGCACGTGGTCTCCATGTGACTTGGGTCTCTCCTGGGGAGGTGCCTCTCTGGTTGGCATGCATTCGACTGGGCTGAGAATGGGGTCCGGCCACAGCAAGGCCTACCTGCTTGGTTGTGAGCAGGTGCCGTGGGGCGCATGGTCTCTGCCCATGTAAATTATTTCTAATACAAGAGAAAAACTGTACTGTTTGCTAATGGCTACCAAAAAAAAAACCCTTACATTTTCCCTTAAGAGCTGTGTTCATAATACAGTTTCATTATTCATGATAAAACTAACAAAAAATAATCAAGACATACTACTTGGTAACTTTACTGAATTAAGTAGTGTTGATTCTCGACCAATAATATACATCGCTCTTATACAACATACTGAGGGAAAAAAAATAGCAGAATTTTCTTATTTCTTCTCTAAATTATATGAAATGAGGTTCTCTTTTCTACCCTAAAATGTAGCTACTATACATTCTTTCCCTCTTCTTGGCCAAAATCAACTATCTATTGTCCGATACCATTTTATTATTAAAAATTTAAGTAACACTATTTCCTGGAATGAGTTCTTCTCTCTATGATTTTCTCTGCCTAAAGTAGCAATTGCTTCTTTTTACAAGCTGTTTGGCATAGTCTCCTCTTCTTACCTATGTACTTTATAATTTTACTTTCTACCCTTAAAGCATTGTATTTTAAGAGATAATCTAAAACCCCACAGTAAACATTTTAATTATTTAAAGGTCACCATGTAAGAAATACACTATTTATAAATTCATATGTATGTACTCAAAAGTTTTTATACTTACATATAAACATGCTGATAAGAAATAACTTGATAAAAATATCTAAAATAGCCCCCCGCAGAAGTCTTTTCCTTTAGTAATCATTCTTTTCAGGTATTTTTTTCATTTATATTCCCTAGGATCTTACACTTTCATTTAATTCCATCATTTGCAGAAGTGTAAATAAATAAATAGGCTTCAAATAAAACTTGGTTGGTCCAAGTCCATATTAAATTGTATGTCTGAAATAATCTGGTGTGAAAGTTTTCAGTGCTCAGGAGGAGCAGAGAACAAACAAAGGGCAAAACCTCCCATTCTTCAGCATTTAAACTGAAAGGACTACATAGATAATCTAGTCCAAGTTTGTTTTTTTTTTAATAGACTCAAAAAAACTGAGGTTCAAACACCAAAAATAATTGGCCGGTTTCTGGAGAATCACAAAGAGCCTTAGCTTCCAACATCTTGTTCCTCTCTTCAGGCCCTGGGCTGTCCTTACTGCTACACTGGGTAACTCATCAGTCTCCAAGTTTAAGACTGAGGTTTCCAAACAGATGTCAGTTACATCCAAACCATTCTTATGTTCAGAAATTTATCTTTATCATAATTACATGAGAACTGACATTATAACAAAATGTGATTTTTTTTCATTTTGTTTTTCTTTAATTCAGGAAACTTTACCCAACTAAGTGCTTACATTTGCGAGGACTTCTTACCTTTTCTATTAAGTGCATCACAGCACTAAGTTGTTCATCTGTGTTCTCTGTGGCCACTTTCATGTTGATGTTGTGCAGCACTCTGTTGAGAATGTCATTATCCAGGGGCTGGTGTAGCTGATCCGCAAGCCCCCAAACGGCCTGCGAATCCGCATCAGAGACAAGAGTGATGTTGGCAGTCCCGTACATGTTATCAATTCTGGCACCACCTTTTGGGTCAAAAAGCACAATCTGAAAGCGTTTAGGAAATGGATTTAAAGACCCTGTCTCTGGTGTTAGGATGACATCCACTATGGTGTTTCTCTGGCCGGGTTCAAAGACCAATGTGCCTTCAGTTCTCACAAAATCCTTCCCAGAAATAGCTGGAGATATCAGAGTACGACCAATTGTTTCAGCACTTCTCAATTCCTGAAAATTAAACAATACCATTAAAGTGAATTTGTATACCCCTGATCTTGTCCTAAACAAATTCGTATTTCTTAAACAAATTCTATTTCTCTTAACAAACTGATGAGCAACAATAACTGTAGTAAAACATGCAGTTTTATACTTTTTCTAGTCTTCTAAGATAAATTAGAGAGATAAATACACATAAGTGTTGAGGTTAGGAAAGACAGATGGCTTAGAATAGATCGAAGAAGAGAATTAGCAAAAAATGTCACTACTGCCTCACAGAATTTCTCCAGTTGTGAACATACTAAAATTTTTGCTTTAAATAACACATGCTGCAAAATATAAATATGGAGGAAAAGAAAGAATATTTACATTTTTATTCTCACCTAGAAATTTTTTTGGAAAGCAGGGTGGGGAGAGTAGAGAGGAGGCACAGGGGAGGAAGTAGGCAGAAGAAGAGATTAACCTCTAGTTTACTTGTAGGTATGGGAATATCCTAAGGAATAAGGTCTTGGATGTATATACCTCTGAGTTTCTTCCAATTATGCTTACTAAAAAGTTTTTTGGAAAAAGTTTTTTTGGGAAGTGAAACATGAATACTTGGCCAAGGAGGAATCAAAGGAATTGTTCATTTATTTACTACTGAGCCAACAACTATTAAACTCCCAGCAGACACCAAGTGGCATATTGTGGATGCAGGTGTGAGCAGCAGAATGCCTGCACTCATGGAACCTCCCACTCTAGCAAAGGATATAGATAGTACAAGGACTATGAAATCAGTGATATATTTTAATATGAAGATGAGTTCTGTGAAGAAAAATAAGAATAAAAAAGGGAATGCAGGGTGACGGTAAATGTATTATTTTAGATAAGGCTGGTCATGGAAGTTCTTGATATGATATTTGAGCAGAGGCCTGAGTGAAGTAATGGAACAGGTGACATGAGGATCTCAGGGGACATGTTCTAGGCCAAGGGAACAGCACTTAGAAAGGCCATGAGTTGAGAGGAAGAATCAGAAGGCCAGTGTGACTGGATGAAGGAAGAGTGCTGGAAGCTGGCATGAGAGAGGTAGACAGGGGTCAGATGAAGTAGGTCCATTATTTTAAATGTGGCAGGAAAACACTTAGAAAGGCCATGAGTTGAGAGGAAGAATCAGAAGGCCAGTGTGACTGGATGAAGGAAGAGAGTGCTGGAAGCTGGCATGAGAGAGGTAGACAGGGGTCAGATGAAGTACGTCCATTATTTTAAATGTGGCAGGAAAACAGTGGAGGATTTAAGCAGGAGAGTGGCACGTTCTATTTAATATTTTCATGAGTGTTCTGGCTCTCGTGCATCTTAGGCTACAGCAAGACTGAGCACGAAGCAGGGAGAAACGACAGGAGGGTTTTGCATTAGTTTATACGAGAAACAGTGGTAGCTTGGACTAGGGTAAGATGAATAGAAGCAGAAGAAGACTCTGACTGGGAGTATATGTAGAGTCAGTAGGACTTTCTGATGAATTTGATGTTGGATGGAAGGAAGAGGAGAATTGAGGCTAACTCCTGGCTGTTTGCCTAGATGAATGGGTAATTGCATGAATGGTGAAAAACTGGGAAAAATATTATTAAGGGATAAATCAATAGTTATTTATTATACATATTAAGTCTGAGATGCCTCTTAGACATTCAAGTGAATAGGTCAAGTAAGAGCAATCAGATACATGAGTCTGGATCAGAGGAGATAAAGAGGCTATTGATGAAAATTTGGGAGCCTTCAGTTTACAGATGATACTGTTAAGTAACGGGTCTGGATGGTCTACCCTGGAGAGTGAGGCTTGGTGGACTCCAACATTTATTGGCTAGGAAGATCAATATAAGCAACAGGAAAGAGCTCCCAGTGAGGTAGGAGCAGAAAAGTGTGGTAGTCCAGAAGCCCAAAGGAGAAGAGCATGCTTCACAATGAAGGAAGTGATCAGTGTGTCAAAAATGAAAAATCAATGAAGATAACGGATTTTCAAGAGCATTTACAGTGGTAATGCTTAAAAAAGATAACAAAAAGCCTTACTGAAGAAAAAATTCAAAAATTGATTGGCTTTAGAATAGGTACATTAAAGTATCCACTGGAATACTATATTACAGTGGAAGTGAAAGAATTAGAACTACGCACATCAGCAAGGGTTAAAATTCAAAAATTGATTGGCTTTAGAATAGGTACATTAAAGTATCCACTGGAATACTATATAACAGTGGAAGTGAAAGAATTAGAACTACGCACATCAGCAAGGGTTTTTCACAAACATATCATTGGACAAAACAAGTACACCACAGAACAATACAATTGAAATAACTCCATTAGCATAATTTCCAGAACAGGTAAACTCACATAACATACGGTAGGTGGTAAAACTATAATTAAGAGTGAGGAAATAAACATAAAGTTAGCACAGAGGTTACCTGTAAGATGGGGAGAGTCAAGGAAAAAGCAAGATGGCATCAGAGAGGGGTTCATGGAGGCTAGTTTTAAAATCCTGGTAAAATTGGATTTCTTAAACTAGGTGGTGGTGATTTGATTACTATGCACTGCACATACACATTCTGTCCACTGTTTTCTGGTAAGATTTATTTCATAAGTCAAACATTTAAAGAAAGCAAAACAATCAAATTCTTCTCATGTTTGAAGCACTGTGCTATTTTAAAGTGACAATGAAAATCAATATAGAAATACTGTAGTCTGGGAATAGAATAGGCAATGTGAGAATAAGGAGGAAAAAACCTGTTCTTATACTTGTGTGCTTTGAGCTAATACCCACATACATAAAAGAAAGTATTTTGGAAGCGGTTTTCAAATTTGTTTTAGCTATAGGCTTATTTAATTGAAGGATAACTAGAATAGGTGATGTTTTCATTATCTCGAATGATAAGGACCAGAAATTTCTTTTTAACTTTATATCACAAACACATAGATAAAACAGAATTTATGCTAAGAATATATAGTGTTTATACATATGGGAATGCTGGCCTACCAAAGAGTATGTATGCTATAGTGACTGTTCTAACTACATTAATCTATTTAAAGGAAAAGGAAAATCAGTATCATCGCAACAGAATAGCAAGTTGGTCCATAATCATTTCATCATCTTTGCCAGCTATTGGAAAAGATAAATTATATGTCTTTGCCTTCTAGTCGTACGCCTGGCATTCAGAGAGAGAACAACGCAGAGGCAATGAAGCAACAGCAAAATAAAATAATAACAGAGCTGAAACTTTTATTTCTAATTTTCTAAATTAGGCTTTTTATTTTGAGGTAAGTACAGATTCACATGCAGTTATAACAAACAATAAAGAGAGATTTGCTGCACCCTTTACCCAATATCCCTTATTGGTAACATCTTGCATAACTATAACCTAGTATCACAACCAGGATATTGACATTAATGCAGTCAAGATACAGAACATTCTTATCACTTCAAGAATCCTTCGCATTGACTTCTATAGCTGCGCTCACTTCCCCTCACCCCACCCCCATAATCTCTGGCAACCACCAATCTCTTCTTAATTTCTATAATTTTGTAATTTTAAGAATACTATATAAATGGAATTATATAACCTTTTGTTTGTTAAGAATTAAGTTTAATTTACTGAAATCAAGCAGCTGAAAGTGCATCTTTTTATATAATCTTTTGGGATTGTTTTTTTCCTGTTGGCATGATTATCTGGAGATAAATCTAGCTTGTTATGTGCATCCGTGGTTTGTCCCTTATTATTCCTGAATAGTGTTCTATGGCATAGATTAAGGCCCCCAGTTGTTTAAACATTCATCCACGGAAGGACATCTGGATTGTTTCTAGTTTGGGGCTACTATGAATAAGCTGCTATAAACACACAGTACAGGTTTTTGTGTGAACGTAAATTTTCACTGCTCTGGAATAAATGTGTGGGAGTACAATTGCTGGGTCATACGTTAGTTTATGTTTAGCTGTTTAAGAAACTAGCAAACTGTTCTCCAAAGTGGCTGTATCATTTTACATTCCCATCAGCAATGAATAAGTGATCCAGTCTCTCAGAATCCTTGCCAACGTTTAGTATTATCACTGATTTTAGTTTAGCAATTCTGATAGGTTAATAGTGATATATCATTGTGGTTTCAGTTTGCATTTTGCTAATAGCTAATGATGTTGAACATCTTTTTATGTGCTTACTAGTCATCTGTGCAAACTCTTTGATGACATGTATGGTTATATCTTTTGTCCATTTTTGTTTACTGTGGTGTTTTTTTTTTTTTCCTTCCTGGGATGTTGAACATCTTTTTATGTGCTTACTAGTCATCTGTGCAAACTCTTTGATGACATGTATCGTTATATCTTTTGTCCATTTTTGTTTACTGTAGTGTTTTTTTTTTTCCTTCTTGATGTTCCAAGGTTCCTTCTTATTATTCCCTTTCTGTGTAGAGCACTTTCTTTAGCCATTCTTTTAGGGCAGGTCTATGGGCACAAATTCTTCATTTTTCTTTCATCTGAGAATTTCTTCACTTCCCCTTCATTTCTGAAGGATACCTTCCCTGGATATAGAACTCAGGGTTGATGGTTCTTTTCGTTCAGGACTTGAAAAATGTTGCATCACTGCCTCTTGGGCTCCACGGTTTCTGATGAGAAATCTGCTGTCGTCCTAATTGTTTTTGCCCTATCAATAAGACACTTTTCTCTCTTGGCTCCTTCAATATCTTTGTCTTTAATTTTTTGAAGTTTGGCTGTGATATCTCTTAGTGGGGATTTCCTTAGGTTTATCTTGTTTGGGTATTGCTCAGCATCTTGAATATATAGGTTTATATCTTCTGCCAAATTTGGAAATTTTTCAGCCATTATTCTTCAAGCACTTTTTCATTCCTGACCTCTTTCTCCTTTCTTTCAGGACTCCAATAACACAATGTTAGATCTTTTGTAATAGTCACATAGATCCCTGAGGCTCTGTTCATTCTTTTTTCAATCTAGTTTCTTTCTATTTAGATTGGGTAATCAATTGGTATTGTTTTTCTTCAAGATCACTGATTCTTTCCTTTGTTCCCTTCATTCTGATGCTGAGTCTATTTATTCAGTTTATTTTGGTTATTATATTTTTTAGTTTTAAAATTTCCATTTGCCCTTCTCTATGTCTTCTATTTTGTTTGCTGAAATATCCTATTTCTTTGTTGAGACTTTTTATTTTTCTGATTTGTTTCAGGAATGTTTGTAACTGCTTACTGAAGCATTTTTACGATGGCTACATCAGAATTTTGCCAGATAATTCTAATATCTGTCATCTTTTCATCAGCATCTGTTTATTGTTCTTTTTCATTACATTTTTTATCTTTCTTGTTCTCGGTAAAATGAATGATTTTTGATTGAAACCCAGACATTTTAAGCATTATCTTATGAGACTCTGGAGAGCATTTAAACCTTCTGTTTTAGCTGGCTTTTGACACTGCTGTGGCTGAGGAAGAAAAGGTACCACCTGACCACTTTCAGCTGGAGGTAGAAGTCTGGTTTTCCCACTTGGCCTCTATTGATACTTGAGGGGGAGATAGAGAGATTCCTCCTTACTGCTGCTGGGAGGGGGTGGGAGTTCACATTCCACACTAGGCCTTCATTGATACCTCCCTAGCTAAGAAGGGTACTACTACTCCCCCAGTGGTTTCCACTGACACCATGTTGACACTGGGGGACCTTTTTACTACCAGACAGTGTTGGAAACCCTGACTCTCCACTAGGTACCTGTGACACTACACCAGTAGAGAGGCTGAGGCCTCTGGCAAGGTAGTCTTTGCTAATGTGGATAGAGGTGGGTCTGGTTTTTCGACATTGTTTGGCTGGAGTACAGCAGTTATTATCTAAAAGTTTTCTGTCTTGCTAGGCTGCCCCTTTTCTGTTCCTTTTGCTCAAGAGAGCAGGCTTTTGTGGGAGAGCTTTTTTGGTCCCCTTTAGTGTTTCTGTTTGCCAATTTCTTCAGCTTCAAGTCTGTGATATGAGAACTCACCACTATATTATCATTCCTTGAGTCACCGGGTCCCTAGCTAGACTTCTATCTTCTCTCCACCGTTCAGAGTCTTCTGATGTTGTTTTATATATAATGTCCAAGGTCTTTAGCTGTACTTAACAGGGAAAGATACATCTACTCCATCTTCCCAGGAAGATAAGTTCCCTATTCCTAGTAAATTTTTCAGATTCCATTCTTCACTTCCATTATGTTAGTTAAAATACCACAGCCATGAATACTCCCTACTAAGTCTATATAGTATGTGTGTTAGAACAAATAGAATGTGTGTTTGTGGGTGTATACACAAAGTTAATGAAAATATTCATGTATATATGTACAGAGAGAGAGAGAGAGAGAGATTTGGCAAAAACTGGAGACTGAAGGAAGTCAATGGTTTAGTTCTATTCCACGTCTGAAGGCCTGAGAACCAGGACAGCCAATGGTGTCTAAAGGCCAGCAGGCTTGAGACTCAGAAAAAGCCAGTGTTTCAGCTCAAGTCCAAAGGCAGGAAAAAGCCAGTGTTCCAATTCAAGGGCTGTCAGGCAGGAAGAATTATCTCTTACTCAAGGGATGGTCAGTGTTTTTGCTCTATTCAGGTCTTCAATTGATTGGATAAAGCTCCCTCATAATGGGAGGGAAATCTGCTCTATTCAGTCTAAATTCATCCAAAAACCCTGACAGAAACACCCAGAACAATGTTTCACCAAATATATAGGTGGTCCAGTCAAGTTTACACATAAAATTAACCATCAAAGTAGGGAAAACTGGAAATTCATAAAAATATATTGCTCCATAAATAAGGGTCTTTATGACTTACATGCTAGTGGCAGCATGTGTTTTGCAAAGAATCACTTATGAAGAATCTAGAAAAAACATAAATGAGTGACAGCGATGTTGGCACTCAGATTCTTCTTTTGACAACTTCAATTCGCCACTCGTCTGTGTGGATGAACTGGTTTAAAATGTGACTCAACTCAATGTTATCATCTCTCCTTCCTCTCCAGTCCCCCTTCTCACACTCTGTAAAGTAGTGAGCATATGGCCATATATATTTCATGTGCGAAGAGGAAGAATGAAGAATAAATTTTTTCTCATTTCTCTTCCTATCTTAAACACTCTAAACAAAAATACTAAAATCTCCCCATTATGAATCAAAATACTTCTCTTTGTGTTCATACAACTTCAAGGCCATTTAGAAAGCAGTTTATTTCTAGGGTCTCACAAAATAGAGAATTTTGTCGTCCTGTTCACTGAGCTGTGGACTTAGGACAGCATACTACCCATAGCTCTAGACCTAACCTCCCATCCTTGACTCACACAATGGCTACAATATACTGGCCATAAAAAGTTGTATTTTAGACACGGAATGTTCTGCTTGTTTGACCTACCCAATGAAAGCACATACTAAACAGTACTTTTAATAAAACTGTAACCTTGAGGCCTAAAGAGTCACCAGGTTTAGAATTTTGAAACAGGTAAATGGCAGCACTGTCCAGAATGGTAGTTTTCAAACTGTGGGTTTCCTGCAGTTATATGGGTCAAGGAGGGGAAGAAAAGAGGGCTAAAGTAAGCAAGCTCCAATCCCCATGTCATGCTTCATTCAAGCAGAGTAGGTAGACATTTTTACTTTATTACATTAGAATTCTGCTGCTAAATTAAAGTGAAAGATCATGCTGCAAAGGTACATGGGTTGTCTGGGCCAAGCCCAGGATCTGGTCACTTAGTGTTATGTAGCATTATTCTTCTGAGTCCCCGGATACTCCCTGCACCGTCTTTAACCTGATGTCACCTAATAAGATGGATCTGAAAAAGTGGCGATGAAGCCTCGTGAACTTACAGATTTAAATAAATATAATGATCAGTTAGTGTTTGAGGTTCTAAACAAGAAAATTTTCAAGTTCGGACATAAACCATAACGAGACCCTTACTTTTTGCTTGCGATCTTATGTAGTTACATTTTGAAGAAATTTTAATGCTCTAGAGATTTGAGAACAGATTCATGTAAGATACTTTGCATTGTAAAATCAAATTTATCAAAAGAAAGAAAAATAGAAAAGTCTATTATTTTAAAACAACATCTGTTGTTGATGAGTGAAAAGCAGAGCTGTTTTAAAAATAAAGTTTAAAATAATAAATAAAAAGTGAATTAAGATGGTATCCTCAAAAAATAATGATCAATTGTTCTGTTTCATTACACTTACTGCAGTTAAAGAAGAAAACCTTAATGTGTATGAATATGTACATACATATATATATGTATTCCATCCTTACCTGGGTACTAAAATTAACAGACATCATTAGTCCTGTCCCAGAATTTCTGGCCACCTGTAAACTGATTAAAGTGGCCTTTTTATGTGCCACTGCTAGCCGAGAACCCACGGAAAAATACATGAGGCTTTGAGGTTCATCACTCTGTAAGATTTTAATCCGTGCAAATCTAGCACTATTGTTTATTGCTGCTCCAGCAGTTACTTCATACAATTCCACAAAAAAAAGTACTTCAATTTGACGTATCTGACAAAGAGAAAAAGGTAAAGAAAATAAAAGGACTATTACTAATACTTATCTATTTTTAGATATTCTGATATTAAGAAATGGTATAATTCATACACATAAATTACAGAAATAAATATACATCCAGAGATACATTGCATAGAATTGAAGAATTAAATTCTTATGTTAGATTACCATGAGATTCATTTTTTGATCTTTCTTTAAAAATACATTTACTTACTTTGCGTGAGCTTTTCACTGGAAAATCAATGTCAGAAGACATTGTATATATACTACAATAAGCAAAAGAATAAATAAAATGTACTCATATAATGAAGTTTTATAAAGTAGTTAAAAGAAATGAACTAGTTCAATACTTTTCAACACAGATGGATCTCAAAAACTGACAATGAGTGAAAATACCAAGTTGCATAATGGCACATATACAATAATACCATAAATGTAAAGTTGAAAATTAAACACAGCTTCCTACATGTTGTTAATGAATACATATTTATGTAAAGATGTTATAACAAACCATACCATGACAGCAGTTGCCTTAGGTGGAGGGGTCAGGGGCAGGAAAGGGCAGGATGTGGAGCTGGAGAATAATACTGGGGGTGGGGAAAAGGGAGTTTCAACTTCATAAAGTTTTATTTTTATTTCTTTTACTTTTAAAGGGTTTTAAATAAATATGACCAAATATTGATAATAGTGAATCCTGTAATTTTATGTATATGTCAAATTTTCCCAAAATTCAGTATTAAATAAATCTAAATTTAGTTTGCTGGTTATAGTTTGCTCATGTTTTACCTTGGTTCTTTCTTAGCAATCTATAATGACTTATTTTCTAAAGCCTGAATTCAATTTTACAACATATTATCAATCATCTGTTTTTACTAATGATTCACTCTTACACAATAATCTAAAAATGTTAGCAGTATTGTTAGCTTCTTGGCATAACCCAAAGAAGCTGAACTGATGCATTTTTCAACTGCATGAGTCCTGTCATTGTCTAATTTGATATAATGCATCATTTTTATCTATCAGCAAAGGCTTTATTCATTATTTGTTTTGTGATAATTTTAATAATAATCATATGTCATGAAACAATACAACAAACCCTTCAGGATTATCCAGGAATAAGTCATATCTTAGTCACACAATAAATAAACTTAATCTCCTTTTGTTGTGTGAAGAAATATGTCTAGCTTTTCTATGGCACACATCATTCTTTATTTCTGCTGATCAACTGTCATTAAATATTAAAATATGGAAATAACTGTACTATTCCTACTTTTGAGAAACTACATTTGGCAAATAAAATTAAGTAAAGCATTCAGAAAGTATGGGTAACTATATCCAAGAGCTATTATTCTCTATGGGCCAAGTGAGCTTGAATTCACAATAGTTTCTTTTAACTAAGGATTTTAGCATATTACATTCCAAATGAGACTCTTATCTTTATTTTCCAGTACAATATTTCTTTTCATTTCTATGATGATTAGATTACTTACAACCACTTAATAGTAATAAGAGTATGTCTAATCTAAGAACAGAACCATCTAAATTGAGCTATATAAAAACGGATACCTACACATAATCAGACTAGAGACAAAAGGAATCTTCTAGTCTTAATGAAGAACTATTCTATTCAAGCAATAATCCTCAAGTCTACTGGGAAACAGAGACTCACACATCAGATCTGAACTTCTAGACTCCTAAACATGACTGGAGACCTCACAAGAAGAGCCCATTCCACGTGTAAGTGCCAGCAGTTTCCTTTTCTAGTTAGGTCAGAAGCACACCAGCATGATCTTTTGCCCCAAGTATAAAATGATTTTTCTTGGGCCCATAACTGCTCAGAAGCAAAAAACCAAAGTAATAATGAAACAATATTTTACTTAAATATGTTTAAAATTTTTTTAATGTTTAAACACTCTTTAATTGAAACAGATTTTCTGGTTTCAGACCATACTTCCTAAGTTAATCATTACCTTATACATTTTGGTAATATATAATCATAAGATAAATCACCGGGGAAATGGACTGAAATTCAAGAGATGGGTTCTAATCTCAGCTCAGTAACTGTCTAGGCAAGTTACTTAAATTCTTCATAACTTGAAAATGAAAGTATTGAATAACTGTAGACATTATAATTAGAGATAGGATAGAGTAGAACAATTTTAAGTTGATGGTCAAAAGACTGGACTGAATTGAGACACCATCATTAATCAGTGATATAATTCTGTGGATGAGTTTGTCATGTTTGCAATATTTGTACACCTCCTATGACTCTTGTTGATGTAGCTACTATTTAAGTCACTGAATTTCCAAAGGCTCCATTCCCATCCATTCTGAATAACAGCAGTACCTGCCATCTCTTATCAAGGGCCAACTCCTTTCCAAGAAGTGTGCTAAGAGTCTCTCACTCATTATTTTAATTAATCTGCCTCATAGCCCTATTATTAACCCCATTAAACCTGGAAGTCTCAGGAAAACTAAACATATTGTCCAATGTCAGAAGAGCTAATATTTGAACCATACTCTTCCATCATCAGAGCACAAACTCTTAACCACATAATGCCTCCCTAAATAAGTTCAATATAATTGAATTCCTTCCTTTGACAAAAAAATGAAGAAGATGGTTCTTAGGTCAAAAGTCTAGGAATAACTGTGTTGCTCTGCTAGAACCTCCAAATAATTTCTCAAAGCCCACTACAAAAGTGGCTGCAGAACCTGTCTTGTTTACATTGCTAGTTATCAGTTTATCAGACACAAAAAGAAGAATTTGAACTAGATGAGCAGTGAGTCATCTTCTAATCATAAAACAAAATGCATATTAGAAGTTCATAGCACTTTTTCAAAAAACATTTTTTCTTTTTCATAAGAAACATATCTTCTTCCTCTTCCTTCCTTTTAAATTTCCTCTTACTGAAACTAGAATGTATATTACCATTACCTCTACCTGCCTTTTAACTGCTAGGAAGACAATGAAAGCAAAATGCTTTGAAAATTAGCTGCTTCTGGGGTCGGCCCGGTGGCGCACTGGATAGTGCGCCGCTTGGGAAGCGCGGCGGCGCTCCCACCCGAGGGTTCGGATCCCACATACAGACCGGTTCCCGCTCACTGGCTGAGCGAGGCTCGGGAGCAACGCTGAGGGTTGCAATCCCATTGCCGGTCCCCGGTCCGGTACGGGGGCAACACTGAGGGTTGCGATCCGTTGCCGGACACGGAAAAAGACAAAAAAGACAAAAAAAAAAAGAAAATTAGCTGCTTCTGAGGATGTGGCAGAAAACTCAACTCTGATCTGATCTTAATGTAAGGTCAGTGCTGCAAAATTTAAAAGAACAAATCACTCTGTGCAAAACAGACAGTATTGAAAAAAATTAACCTGGAAAGCATAAATTTAAGAAACATATTGATTTAACAAGGGAAGTCAGAAAATGGATCTCGATAAGATGACCAGCACTTCTCATTTGAAGTAGCCTGGGACAAGGACTAAGACCGTTGGTGCTACCACAGAACAAGGAGGAAGTGGTGATAACCAAGGGCATGGAACCCTAGGTAATCTAAGACAAGTTTTCTTTCTCTTTTGGAACCAGTAAAATTATTAAAATCCGAAGAAGATATGTATTACTGTAACCTTGGATCAGTATAACAATTAAGGTAATTCTAAGAAGGTGAAAAAACAAGTACAGAAAAAAATGAAAAATAGTTAAACCTACAGAATTGTTATTTCAGGATGGGTTTAGGTATAGGTATATGTTTTGAAGCAATTGTATTTGTGCATGCTTTCTCTGCTGTTTAAAGTGCTTGGTATGTACAAAGAATCCATTATACTTTTGAACATTCATAACTTGGTGGCTAGACTTTGAATTAAATATTTGAATTTAATAAATAAGCAGCAGACAAAGAACAAATACTACTGAGTGCTCCTTGGGGATTAAAGTAACACATAATAATCATTTAAGAAAAGCTACACATGATTATTAAATGCCCCATAAAGCTCTGTTAGGTCATCAGTGACCAACACCATTTGAATAACGCAGATTTCCTTGGAGAGAAGGGGGAATGCCTGTCTCCTAATGTAGTGGACTGAATTATGTCCCCCCAAAACTCATTGAAGCTTGAATTGTATCCCCCATATTTTATGTATTAGAAACTTAGCCCCCACTGTGACTGTTAAGAGGGTGGGAAATCCTGTTATGTTAATTGAAAGGTGGAGCCTTGAAGAGGTGATTGGATTGTAGGACCATGCAGTAGTGAATGGATTAAAAATGGTGGTCAGGGGCATGGTTTGAGGGCTTTAAAAGAAGACAGAGGAGAATCTTTCACTCTCTCTGGTCCCTCTGCTTCCCCCATCTTACAATGTTAGACCCCTGGTTCACTGTCGCCACCACCAGATGGACATTGGACTTCCCAGCCTCAGAAACTGTAAGTGTAGATTTTATTTTCTTTATAAATTACCCAGTTCCATGTAGTTTATTATAAGCAACAAAACAGACTACTATGCCTAGTGCCATGTCAATGTGAACCAATAGAAATTTATCCAAAGACTCACCAAGCATGGCCTCTGTGCCTCTTTCATAGATCAAAACTGAACTCCCTAACTATATAGTAATAAAGAATGAAAGAACTTCCAAGTTTCTGGATATGATAAAAGCAAAATGCTAAACATTCAGAGTAACTAAACTGGCTGAAAATGACTGAAGGGATCATTCATACAATGAGAAGCTGGGTCAGGAGAAATCTTGGAAATAGCAAGAAACAAAAAAGGAAAAAAATGATAAGCTTATTTACAAGAATTTAGTCTAAAGACTGCTGTACAGCAAACAGATTTAGACATTATGGCTGGGCAAGACACAAAGAATCTCCACATAAATAATATGTAAATTTAAATAAAGTGGCTCTGAAATTATTAGTTCTAAAGAAATATAATCAGGAATTGACAACATTGTGCCTCATTTCCTCTTACCTTCTCTGGTTTGAGTTCAACAGTGATAAAGCATTTTGTTTTACCAGCTGCACAGGTCGTGGCTCCTGTCACAGACAGGAGCTCATCCACTAGGTTTACCCCATCTTTCTGGAGCACAGAGGTTGTTTTGTCAAGTGTGACTCGCCAAAAGACCTTGACATCTTCAAAGGCCCTGTGAATAAAGCAAATCCATGCAAATGCATGACAGAGTGTGTTATCACTGTGTCCAACTGTACCTCTGCATCCAAAGTACAGCACTTACTCTACCACTGATAATACTGAAAATGACCAATTCTCCTCATTACAGACAAGAAAATAAAGGTTCAGGGCTGGCCCCATGGCTCACTCAGGAGAGTGTGGCACTGGTAGTACCAAGGCTGCGGGTTCAGATCCTACATAGAGATGGCCAGTGTGCTCACTGGCTGAGCGTGGTGCAGACCACACTGTGCTCAGGGTTGCAATCCTCTTACTGATCAAAAAAAGAAAATAAAGGTTCAGGGTTTACATGGTATTCTTTGACTACACTCTATTCAATAATGAGTAAGTATTGACTGAACCACTTGAATCAGGAATGTGAAAATAAATAATACTTTTCTGCCTACTGAGGTCCAAAAATGTAAATAAAAATTATAGAGAACTTCTGTCTTCAAGTAAATGTTTCTTATATGTCTTTTACCAAGAATTTTTCTAAAGGAAAAACACTATTGCTAAAAATGATTGTTATTGTAAGGGCAAAAGGCGACCTACATTTTCACAGAATATTTAGGCCAAAAATGTAGTTTTATATATATATACATTTAAAAATATGCAATATATATATATATATGTTTATATATATTTATATGTATACCACGTGCATGTGTACATACCAAGTGCATATATGTGATGAGCATTCAAAAGATGTTACTACACAGTACTAAGTTGCAAGAAAAATTTTGGTATTCCAAGTCTCCCTCACAGTAAAATAGTTGTATTGTGGAGTGATCAGAGAATATTAAATATGATGGAGTGATGATTTACATAATCTAACATGTGTATGGTACTTTATGAAGTACAAAACATTCAAGGTAGCCCTAAATTATGATCATGAACCAAGTATGTTAAATCACAGGTTAAGAACCAGAGCATTGGAACACTGACATACTAAATTCCACACTACCTTCTTCTATCAACATTTCATTCTGCTTCTATCATTGCATGAATTCAAATTAGATGCTGAATAGACACACGGGATGTTATACCACACACACACACACACACACATACATACACACACACACGAGTACTTTTAAAAAATTGTAGAAAAATAGAATTAAAAGATAATATGAATTTTTCCATAACTTTTGGAAGACCCCTCATGTAGGGAAGGTGTAACATCCTGTGTATCTGTACTACTGCTAATGGTTAATACTGTAAAAATAAAGGGCAAAAGATGACCTACCTATATATACGTACCTGTTTGGCTGTCTTGTGACAATAAGATGCAGTCTTCTCATATCAGCTCCTTTCCCCAGTTCTAGTCCACTCTGGGACTCTTCACTGAATCCTATGATGCCATTTTGAAGATCACTCCCTGAAAAGAAAATTGGAGGTCTATGACATATTTAATTTAAAAGATCTCCCAGGCTTCACTAATCTTGCCAGTTCAGATGGCATAAAAGTGAAACAACATTCACAAGTAAGTTGGGGGAGCTAAAATTTCTAAAGATCGTTACTAAATATAGACTAAAAATATGATAACATCAATAAGGCTAAAAGTTTGAGAGCAGACTCCAGAAGAAAGACAACAGCAAATCCTGCTCCCCACACTGACACACACGTACTCATCTCCCTCTGATGAGACCCTACTTTACATTTGATAGTACCTGACATTTTATGTATTTATCTGTTTAAAGTCTGTATATCCCCACAGAATATAAGTTTGACCACAGCAACAACTGTTTTATTTACTACTGTATCTCCAGTACTGAGAACAGTATCCAGGACACAGTAAGTGTTTCATAAATATTTGTAAAATAAATAAACTCTATTTAACTGATTTACCTTCTTATAAGAAGGTTGAGCAAAAAGGTTGCCCCAGAACAAAACAGAATTATTAAGAAACTCCTGTACATCTCTGAGAATCAGAAACTCTCCTGAACAACACTTGAGGTTACAGAAACCATCACATTAAAAATATTTAAACTGGAACAAACATAGAGCTCATTCTACAATGAAAGTCACTTCAAATCCCAGACAGCAAATAAGCTAACATCTCAGAGTAGAGAAATACCAGTGTACAGTTCCTGCTGCTTTCTATTTCTCAGTGGCCTAGTTTTGCAAAGTGATCCCAGAGGCAATGACTTTAAAGCAGTCTGCCTCAAAAACCACCTGTACACACCATCCTGAAACCTTATTCCTCAGGTCCCAAGGAAATCAATTTCTAAAGTTAGGTAGGAGGTTGGACTAAGGAAACTGAAAACCACTTAACCGCCTTGAAGGGGGAAAGCTACTAGTCATCAGCCCCAGGCCTGTTTCCCAGGTCTGAAGTGTAAGTAAATGTGAAGCCCATTTATTAGGAACATGCACGTGTTGGACTAATTTGTTTTAGTGTCTCGTGTGCTTTGTCTCAACTAAACTGCCAAACCTCATCCTCACCAATTAATCACTACAATTACTTCTTAATCTGGCATCAGAATTTGAGGTAGACTTTTTCTCATCAGCAGCAAGTGTTTTCTTGTCACCCTGGGTGGTGATTTGATCTCTCCTAGTAGATTATAAGCTTCTCACAAGGAGAAACATCATTTTCTTTTCCAAGGAAAAAACAACTGGCATGGTTCTAATGAAAATAGTACTTCATGGAGCACACCATCATCTCTCTTGGGTGTGCAGGGTCCTGCCCATGACCCCAGTGATCTTATCCAGAGTTGACCACTCCAGCTGAGGAGTTGTGGAGTGATCCAGCATTCCTATTGGTAGAATAGGGTCTCACCCATGACCACAATGACCTTGCCCAGAGTGGCCCACTCCAACAGTGGTACTGGAGAGCAACGTAGCATCTCTCTTGAGGGTGCATGGCCCCACCCATGACTACAGAGACATTACCCAGTGCAGCCCACTTCAATGGTAAAGGTACAGAGCACCCCATGTCTCTCTTGGGAATCCAGGGCCCTATTCATGGCATAGGCAACTTTGCCAAAGTGGCTCAGTACAGCTGAGGAGCTACAGAGCATCCCAGCATCATTCTTGGGGGCACAGGGTCCTGCCCATGGAACCAGTGACCTTACTCAGTGTTGTTCACTTCAGCTGAGCAGCTGCAGAGTGCCCCAGTGCCTCTTTTGGGGTATTATCCCAAAGCCCTAGTGACCCTATCCAGAGTCACCCACTTCAGCTGAGGAGCTCCTGAAAACTTCATTGTCTCCTTCAAAGTCCAAGGTCCTGACTGTAACCTGAGAAATCCCACCCAGTGTTGCCCACCTAAGCTGAGGAGCTACAGAGCACCCCAATGCCTCTATCAGAGGCACAGGATCCTGGCTGGGGCATCAGTGAGCCTGCCTGGGTCTTCCACTCCAGCTGAGGAGCTGCAGAGCAATGCAATGTTTTTCCCAAGAACTCAAGATCTTGTCCATGACCCCTACAACACACCCAGTGTCACTCACTCTGGCAAAGAGCTGTCGCCCCAAGCCTAGGCCACGGAGGCACTCACAGACAACTCTGATGCTGAATAATTCAAAGAAATCACACAAATACTACACTACTGTGCTCACCAGGAATCAAACTGAAAACACTCTACCCGACTGGTACTGTACAACATATCTACAGGAAAGATTCTCTCCCTTCAAAATCTACTCAAGAGTATTGGAAGAAGAAACTGTTCCAACCAGATGCCCAGACATCAATGTAGGGATACAAGAAACATGAAAAAACAAGGAACCATGACATCCCCAAAGGAATACAATAATTCTCTAGTACAAGAACCCATAGAAAAGGAAATCAATGAAATGCCTGAAAAGAAATTCCAAATAATATTAATATGAAGGAAATTCAATGAGGCACAAGAAAATACAAAGAGACAACATTATGAAATGAGAAAAAAAAATTCAGGATCTGAAGGACAAATTCAATAAAGAGAGAAATACCATTAAAAAAAACCAAGCAGAAATCTTAGATCTGAAGAATTCATTAAATGAAATTTAAAAAAATACAACTGAGGTCTTAAACAACAGGCTAGATCAAGCAGAAGAAAGAATTTCTGAGGATGAAGACAGGCTTTTTGAGATAACTCAGACCAAAAAAGAAAGAAAAAGATTTTTTAAAATGAAGAAATCCAATGAGATCTAAGGGATAACTTTAAGGATACAAACATCTATATTATGGGTGTTCTGGAAGGGAAGAGAAAGGAAAAGGAACTGAAAACTTATTTAATGAAATAATAACTAAAAATTTCCCAACTATTGGAGAGATACGGACTTCCAGATCCAAGAAGCTGAAAGATCTCCAAACAGATTTAACCAAAAAGGTCCTCTCAGAGACACACTGTAGTCAAATTTTCAAAAGTATAAGGTAAAGAAAGAATCCTAAAAACAGTAAGAGAAAAGCATCTAGTCGCCTATAAGGGAATCCCCATCACTCACAGTAGATTTCTCAGCAGAAACCTTACAGGCCAGGAGAGAGTGGGATTATATATTCAAAGCACTGAAAGAAAAAAAAAAACTGCCAGGCAAGAACACTATACCCACCAAAGCTATCATTCAGAAATGGAGAAATTGTGTCTTTCCCCGACAAACAAAACTATGGGAATTCACCACCACAAGACCAGCCCTACAAAAAATCTTTAAGGGAGTCCTGCATCCGGAAGCAAGAAAATGATAATTACCATCATGGTCATATTCAAATAACTGTAATAAAATATCTGTGTCATGGAATGGGGGAAGAGAACGTTGACTGCTGAACTTATTTTAATAGAATCATATAGATGGCATTAAGCCAATGTGAGTAATATCAGTAAATAACATAGAATAAATCAGAATTTACAATACTCATTATAAGCAATAGGAATAAGAATAAGTGATATTAATTCTAACTGATGTGAATTTGTAGGGCAACCAATGGAATGATGCTAGGTATAAAAGAAAGTCGAACAACTGCAAAATTATGACTGAATTGTAACTGAATGGCTAAAATAAAATAAAAACTCTAGGAAGCATCAAATCCTAAAAGTAGGTTTTGAGATCTATTGCACAGTGTGGTAAATGTAATTAATGAAAGAATACTGTACATATCAAAATTGCTAAAAAAGTAAATTTCAAACATTCTCATCACAAAAAAATGTTAAGTATTTGAGGTGATAAATATGTTACCTAGCTTGATTTAATTATTCCACATAGTACTCATAAATTGCAACATCACTCTGTACCCCATAAATTTATACAAAATATACAATTTGTTGTCAATTAACAATGAAATTTTTTTTAAATTATGAGATGGCTTTGTCATTACTCTAATTAGTGTAAAGTACTGACAAGCTGATCTATTTTAATTAAAGAAATATAGCTTGACTTCAGAGGTAAATTGAAAATTATCAGGGAAATGCAAATTAAAACCACAAGGAGATATCACCTTATGCCAGTTGGAGTGGCTGTTATCAAAAAAGACAAAAAACAACAAGTATCAGTGAGGTGCAGAAGGGGAACTCTCCTACATTGCTGGTGGGAATGTAAATTGGTACAGCCATTGTGGAAAACAGCATGGAGGTTCCTCAGAGGACTAAAAATTGAACTAGTTTATGACCCAGCAATCCCACTACTGGGCATATACCAAAAGGAAATGAAATCAATATATCGAAGAGATACCTGCACTCCCATGTTCACTGCAACACTATTCACAAGAGCCAAGAGATGGCTCAACCTAAATGCCCATCAGTGGATGAATGGATTGGGAAAAAATACTGTGGTATGTATACACAATGGAATACCACTCAGCTATTAAAAAAAGGACATCCTGTCATTTACAGCAACATGGATGGGAACACTATTCACAAGAGCCAAGAGATGGCTCAACCTAAATGCCCATCAGTGGATGAATGGATTGGAAAAAAATACTGTGGTATGTATACACAATGGAATACCACTCAGCTATTAAAAAAAGGACATCCTGTCATTTACAGCAACATGGATGGGAATTAAAGACCATCATGTTAAGTGAAGTAAGTCAGGCACAGAAAGACGAATGCCACATGATCTCACCCGCATATGGAATCAAAAAAAAAAAATGCTGTTCTCATAGAAGTAGAGTAGAATAATAGTTACCAGAGGCCAACATGGAAGGGAAGACAAGGATGAGGTGAAGTGGCGGATTAACATGTACAAAGGCATGTTATCTACCCTAAGTCAATGAATGTACAGTATATGCATGTATTGAAACACAATGTACCCCACAAATATGTAAAATAAAATCTTTTTTTGCAAGCAATAATGTTTTATTTCTATGGCTAGATATAAGGGAAAACTTAGAATTACAGAAGGTCATAGATTGAGAAGCCTTTTTATTTATTTTTTTTCCTGTTCCCTTTTTAATTCTTTTTTTATTGAAATATAATTGATTGTGCATATCTGTGGAGTACAGTGTTGAATATCCACACCCGTGTGTGATATGTGGTACTCAAATCAGGATAATCAGTATATTCAACATTACACAATGTTGACCCTATCACAAATTCTGTAGCAAAAAAGTACATTTTTATCTCCATCACTTCAAAGATATACCTGTAATAATGACCATGGCAAAAGCTGCAAACCCAGTCTCATCCTTTCCCTTCACAATCTTGGCTCCCCCTCGAGGGTCTGCGAGAAACACGTAGAAGAATTCCTGCCCCTCAGGCTCACCATCATCCAAAATGGGAATTGATACTTTACGTTCTCTTTCTCCATCTAGAAATGTAAGGATAACAGTTTGTTCTTCGAAGTCTTCTTCTTCAACAGCCCATGTTAGGTTGGAAATTCCAAACATATCATAAAAGGGCAGTGCATTTGGTTCCTTGTGAGCACATCTTTCACCGAAAGTTCTAACCGTTACGCTGACGTTGCCAAGGATAACAGTTTGTTCTTCGAAGTCTTCTTCTTCAACAGCCCATGTTAGGTTGGAAATTCCGAACATATCATAAAAGGGCAGTGCATTTGGTTCCTTGTGAGCACATCTTTCACCGAAAGTTCTAACCGTTACGCTGACGTTGCCGGTAAGCCCAGCAGTTCTTAGGATAAGAACCTCGGCTGTACTGAACGTGCCATTCTGCACGTCCTCTTCAACGTACACAATGGGTGGCCCAAGACTAAAGATTCCATGAATGGAAACACTGGAAGTTACAGTGGCCACGTCAGGCTTCTCAGGCACGTCAGATGTCCCATAAATGGTGACAAGTTTCTCAGGGATAGCAAATATACCAGTTGCCTCAGTAACAACAGCAACCATTTCAGTTGCCTGTGGAATGTCAGTTGTCTCACTTGTGACAGGATGTGTGGTGAAGTCAGTTTCTACAGGAATGAGAGCTGTGTCAACTGCTACAGCCACAGCTGTTGTAGGGAAAGAAACATCCATTCCTGCCAGGTCATCATTATCCAATATTGTGATCACTGCAACACTGAAATCTACATTCAGGCGTGGTCTCCAGCTTGCATCAAACTTTTGTAATCCCCTAATTTCTACTGAAGTAAGATTAATGTAAAAAATTTCTTCTTTTTCAGTAAGTTGATCATTAATAATGGTTATTTCAAAATCAACCTCGGCTTGGAACTTTTGAAAAAACAGTTCCCCATTCTGAATAGGCTCAAAGTCTTCTAGTGGCGTGGCGCTTCCTGCAGTTGTCTGATAGGAAACTTTAATAAGATCGCTGTGGAACCCAAACAGTCTTTGTACATGTAATCTGATCATCTGTGCATCCTCTGGCACCATGATATTTCTTGAACTAGGGGAAAATTGGAAGACTCCCATCGGTTCAATTTCAGCCATGGTGAAACCTGATCTGGAAAAAAAAAATTTAACCATGAAAAAACTGATGAAAAATAGGAGTACAACTGTAGAGATTCATCTTTCACATATTTAAGATGCTGCTCATGAAGGCAGCATCTTAAAAATGACACGCCCTTCCAAATTCCATAAAACTCTACTTACTTACTGATGAACATAGCAGAACACAATAAATGTAAGAACAGGGGCTGCAATAGTGGAGACAGGACCTAACAAGTCTGAGCTAAATGAAGAGCTCATGGGTCTCTGGTCTGTTTCTGTGTCACCCCAGAGCAGCTGTCTGAGGGATCTGGAACATCAGACACTCTCTTAATGATCCAAGGGGACTAAAACCTCTGTAATGCTCTAGAAATCCACTGGCTTTCTTATCTACCAAATAGAAATAGTTTCTGGTACTAGGAGCAAAATATTTGCTTCCTCCAGCTGCCAATAATAGGACTATTCTCTCACACGAATGTTGCTAAAACTTTACATATGAATTGGAAGAAACATCCATGATTGAACAATCTATCCTTAGCTTTTTCCCTATAGATTTTGTTATCAATTAACAGTTATATCAGAGGTTACAACTGATGGCCTGTCAGCCTAATTCTACTCATAGACATGTTTTCTTTTGCTAGTGGTGTTTTTTAAAATATAAATTTGAATGCCTGTAGGGAGGATACTCCAGGTCCTATCACTCCCTATTGCCAAGCACCTATCATTCAGCACTTAAAATAGTGGTTAAAAGTTCAGACAGTAGCCAGACAGGCTGGGTTCAAATCATGACCCCAACAGTTATTAACTGTGTGATGCTGGGTTCATTATGTAATCTATCTATGACTCACTTTCTTCATCTATAAAATGGGACAGATAATAGGACCTACCACAAACAGCTGGAAAGAGTAAATGTGTGTGTATGTGTGTGGGTGGGTGTGTATGTGTGTCTTATAACAATGCTGGCCTAGGGTAAGCACTATAAAACCATTAGCTATTATTGTTATTATTAAAGGCATTTGAATTTGTGACCCTGAAATATGTTCTCTGGACAAACATTTTTTAAAAGGCACATGTATAATCTAAAGCCATATTTGATTCCACCAATGGACATCCCCCACACATGAACAAGTATACACACATACTTGAACACACATTGGCTTTACTCACAGATTTTCCTCATTTTCAAATAAAGAAAGCTGAAGAACAGAAATATCAAGTAACTATCCCAAAGTCACACAGTGAATAAGTGGCAGAGCCGGGACTAAATCCGTAAGTCTGGCTCTCAGGTGGTCTGCCCTCTGTTGTTCTGGTCAAGCCCCTTCCAGGTATGAGAAAAGTAAACTGCTTTTGTCTGAGACATATTTATCTGCAAATATACTGTGTTTCTCATAAACAGTCATTATAGATAAATAGAAAAATTAAATTAAATTAAACTCAAATGAGCCACTGGTTTAAGCAAGTAACATTATTACTCTAAATCACCGAGGAAATTTATTTTCAACTGCTTCTCAGAAGACAGCTCCCTTTAAACATAGGTGAATTTGCCCTCATGGTTCTTACTGAAGATGCTACAAGCCCAGGCCACCATTCTCAAGTTAGAGGTCATGATGAGCTCTCGTCAAGGCAGGCAGTGGGTAGTGACTCTACTGAAAGCCAGCCTCCCTCCATGTATCTTTGGCATGGAGCCCATGTGTTGATCCCTGCTAAAACTGTTTTTACATCTGCTTGGAGTAGAGTGATCTTTGTGTCTTCTTCTGGTTTTGGCTGATTAATTCCAGATTATTCCTCAGAGAACTTCTTGGTTGAGAATTAGCCTGGTCTTACCTAAGCTGAGCTCCACCAGGGGCGCTGCTCTGCACTCCTGCAAGGTGAATGACAAAGGCCTCTGGCCGACCAGGCCTGGGGAACGTCCGCAGCTCAAGTCCTTTCCTTTGTTCACCGTGGGAAAACGAAAGGCTCCCTGAGAGGAAACATGCAAAGGCAGGGTGTCGTTAATAGTGCTTAAACAGGGATTCGACTCTTAAAAATGTAGAGAAATATATTCTTTTTCCAAAATTTGATTACAGTTCACAAAAGGTAAAACATTTTTAAAAAAGGGGGTGTCGTTAATAGTGCTTAAACAGGGATTCGACTCTTAAAAATGTAGAGAAATATATTCTTCTTCCAAAATTTGATTACAGTTCACAAAAGGTAAAACATTTTTTAAAAAGGATAGTGCTTAAACAGGGATTCGACTCTTAAAAATGTAGAGAAATATATTCTTTTTCCAAAATTTGATTACAGTTCACAAAAGGTAAAACATTTTTAAAAAAGGGAAGGGGAGGAGGGAGGGAGAGGGAAATAAACTTATAGTAAGCTTCCTGGAGCACAGAGACCTTGCATTCAATCCCTGTCTACTCTTCTCATTTATCTCTTCTTCATTCCTGGTTCAACTATGCCGCCCAGCAGTGGAAAGAGAGTGGTGTCAGGCAAGATTTGATGTGTATTTGGTGTTAGGCTTTGGTTTGAATTCTGGCCCCAGCATATTTTTAGAGATACATATTAAAGTAGTTTTGATGAAATATCATAACATATATTTTACTTTAAGTTACTTTAGAAAAAAGTCACAAATATGGTGGAATGTAACAACCGTGAAATTATTGTACTTTTCATTATGTTTGAGAATGTATTATAAGAGCTCAAAAAACTAAACAAACCTGTTTGAAGATATGGATCGATTGCTTAAGAACTCTTGTTTTTTAGTTTAATCAAGCTATTATAAATTCACTAAGGACTTTAAAGATTAATTTTATATGTAAGTACAAAGTTACATACATGCCCATAAAGAACAATATTTCTACACATAAATCTGTTTGTACCTAATAAGTGGTTACTAATACAAAAGGAAAAAAAGACACTACATTATATGAAGCTGTGTATATCACCCACAGTGACAGAAGAAGTGGGGGAGCAAATGATAAGGGTTTCTGCAGAAAAAAGGGCTAGAAAATAGACACAAAGGATAATTAACAATCTTTAACATAGGAGACATACAAAATGGGAAAATAAAGAGGAGTTCGTGTTTGAAACATTAGGTCAGGGGCAGCCAGCCAGTGGCTAAAGAAACCCGAGTACCCAAGTCAGTTCTAATGCCACAGTGTCTCTCAATCAAGCATCTAAATTCACTCTATTTACTGAGGTTGCTGTTGGAATAAAAGCTGGCATGACAACTTTGTCATTGCCAGTGTCCCTAGCCCTAACCCTCATGTTCTAAAGCATGTCAGTTTTCATTCCTTCTTATCTCTCAGTGATACCAAGACCTTGGGAAAATGAAAATCACTCCATCCCCACTAAGAGACTGAAGATCTCAGTCCATATGCAGAATTCATTAAACTTATTACTAAAGGTAAATGGCATTTGCATGGTGACCGGCAGGAAACTGCAAAGAAAGGAGGAGGAACCTTAGAGATTCTGAGCACAGTGGAGAGTCCTTTATAAACTGTCATCATGTGAATTTGCAATAAGCTTTGTATAAAATAGCAGAGGTCAAACCATCTAACATTTACATCTCACTAACTCTCAAAGAGCTAATGATATAATTTTAAAAATAAAGTATTTGAAGAAACAGTTGCCCTACTGTTAGAATTATTCACATGAACATGTAAATGGATACAAAATGATGTCTTTTTATTATTTCCATGGGCCAAATTAGGTTTTTAGAACTACTTTTAAGAAACTCCTAATATATGGACAGAGTAGTCTACTTAGTGACTACTCTTTGGAGGTGAGGTACAAAGTTTTTAATTTGACCAAAAAAGTTTCTCTCCTTCTCAGCAAGCAGCCTGCACAACCCTGATCACTTAAATATGGGGGCACTGTCTAGAAAACTAATAGTGTCGTGTCTAGAGTAAGGATGACCTAAGAAAATTAGTGGCCAATTAAATACTTCCACGATCTGCAGGGCTGATCTTAGGAAAACTACAACTCACCGAGAGTTGGGGTCATGTTGCCAACAACAACGAATTCGGGGATTTCTAACCCAGGAGCATATCCAGCAGTCCAAGCAATTGAGAGAGAGCCGTATGTACCTCTCCTGGAAATCATAACTTGGCTTGTGCCGGCAGCGATGTCTGTGAGTTGAAAAGCCGTGGATTCAAATCCAACCTGAGGAAAAACATTTCTTTTATTTCTCTCTAAAGTTTTCTGTTTTCTGAAGAGTGGGCTAAATGTCAACTTTCCTTTTGTTTATACAATATATTTCCTTGTCCTACAATATATTCAATTAAAGAGAAACACTTAAACAACATCTCAGATTTGAAACTTTATTCTACTTTACACTTCAGATTATGGTTTATAGAGTTCTCCTTTTTTTAATCAAAATGCAATCCTTCAAATAAATAATACCCCCCAAATATAAATGCAATTATGGCTAAATGAAAGCAAAATATTTAAAATGGAATTTTAATATGACATGTTCATGAGTTTTTCCAGAAACTGATTTGTTTAGAGCTGAAATTTGATTTCTTTCTAAGATATGATGATACATTTCCTCATTTATAAAAAGCACCATGGACTAGACCTTGTATTAAAGCTCTTTTCAGTTCTTTGATTCAATTGATAACTTTTTTTGAGGAACAGAAAGCTTGAAAACTTTTTTTAAAATAATTAGTCTCTTTCACAAGCATCGAATAAGATCTTGTTTTAAGGGCTTCCTTCCCAGGATACGTGATTTATAGATGAGATTCCTGGCTTCACATTGTGATTTGAACAACTCAGTTTACTTCCTTTGGTCTTAATAGCTATAAATTTGGGATACTATTTGGTTCATAGTTATATATTAAGACTCATTCTCCCTTTTTAGCTTGGAGTGGAGATTAGCAGAAAAATGTCAGAGGGTGCTACAGGATAGATTCTGAAGCATTAGAGGAGAAAAAACAAATTTAATCTGACACCAGCCTAGATTCTCTATGACAGTGAGGCCTTGTTTAGCAATTGCCAAATGTGTGTGTGAGATCATGCTTGCTACCTGACTAGAGAGCTGTTTGAAAATGTCCTAGCCACATTACACACACATGTGCACACACACAAATACACACACATACACACCCCCATACAAATACAGGTACAGCTGGATAAAGAGAGTACACCAAAGACATGAATATACCATGACTGGCTTCAACCTTGCCCTCTAGGGTGATACAGTGTTGTTACAATATGCATGGACTAGCAGCAGGAAATATTTTACTACTCCGAATAAATTGTTTTTGTTGAAAAGAATGTTTTTTTTTATAACAACCCGTGAAGAAAAAGAAGACCACAAAACTTCAAATCATTAATAAATTCTACTCCCTCATTAACTCTTGAACAGGAAGTAGTGAAGAAAGAAAACTATTTCTCTCAGCTATTTTTAATGTTGGTGGATTCCACTTCAGGGTTTAAAGCAAATTCATGTCCCGTGGAGAGTATGCCCAGGAGGGAGTAGCTGAAGGCCATCCCTTAGTGTCCAGAGACCACATCTGCCCATATTCCTGCCCACTCATCTGCACAGATTCCATGTCAGCATCTTGGGCCAGGCTTGCCTTAGTCACTTGCGCCCCCTCCTGAAGGAGTAGGATGCAATTATATCTCAAAAAGGCTTCAAAAATACACACATTACCACAGCCATAGACAATAGCCCTGTCTTTTTCTTATATTGACAGAATCGGCCTAAAAGGAAAGTAAAGCCTTCAAGTTGCTCTTTGTTCTCTTGTGAATTTCTGAAGTGATTGGGAAATGATCTCTCCTACAATAAACTCAGATAGAAGACTCAGACGCCCAGTCACAATCATGTCAAGGATCTGATCACTAGCATCTACGTCAGCACAAACTTGCCACAGCAAACCAAAGCCTGAATACTGAAGATAAACATTCACAATGTTAGTAAATGAAAAAGTCTAAAACATTAATTAAAGTTTAATTCTAATTTTAATTTCTTAGCATAAAACACCTCAATATTAAATATTCAATATCAAAAAGACCTGAAAATGTTGACTTTTAGGTGACTGTTATTTTCAAAACTCTATACCTTACATTCAAATTCTAAAAGATAAACACTTTCTAAAACTTCAAAAAGGAAACATATTTTTCTAGCTAATGTTGAAAATTTACAAACTATTTTTATGTAATGTCTCCATTATGTCTACTTTGATATTCACAGGATTACCTAGATTTAGGAAAATAGTTCATCTTAACAGGTACAAAAATATGCTATCTGTCCTAAGTGAATCATTGTGTGGTATATGCATATGTTGAAACAACACACTGTATCCCACAAAAATGTACAAGAAAATATTAAAATTTAAAAAGAAATAAAGAAAAATTCTACATCTAAGAATTTTAGTCCTGCCCTCTAGTGGTTCGCTGGGAGTACCGCACCCAGGGCCAATTACCTTAGAATTGGCAGCTTTCTCAGGGACAGGAAGGACAGCAGATTTCGCTTCCTGGAGAATTCTTGGCATCCCATAGAAACGTCCACCAACAAGCATCACAGTCACCAGTTGCAAGGTGAAATTAGAGCCCAGTGATAGGAAGACCTTTAAACAAACAGTATCAATGATTTTTTTAGTAGTAAGAAATAATCTTGAGAGAAAAATACTGACATTTGACCTGAACAATTAGCATACTGCCTGAGGCTCCTTCAGTAACAAACAGTTTCACCAATATATGCTCTTACTCCCTCTTCATAGAACAAACCACCAGTATTTAGAGTGTGGGGTGAGGAAGGTATAAAAATACTCTACAACTTTTGCAAATTTTCCATGTATGCCCAAATGTCCTCAAGAACAATAGGAATCACCCTGGTATTCATCATGGAATCATGTGTAAGGAGAATGAAGACAGAACTGGAGAATAGTGTCAGCTCCTAAAACCCGGGTGTAGTGGTTTGAATTCTGTCCCCCCAAACTCACTGAAGCTTGAATTGTGTCCCCCAAGTTATATGTATTAGAAACGTCTGAGGACTTGGGGACCCAACTCCCACACCAGCATGCAGAGGAAGCCAAACATGGAGTCGAGGTAGCTGATTCTCCAGCTTTGAGATTTAATGCCTGCCCTGCTGGGCTTCAGACTTGATTGGGACCTCTTACCCCCTTCTTTTGGCCTATTTCTTCCTTTTGGAATGGAATATGTACCCTATGTTTATCCCACCAGTGTATCTTGGAAGTAGATAACTCGTTTTTAATTCACAGAGGGGACTTTGAACTTTGGACTTTGGAGTTGAAACAAGTTAAGAGTTTGGGGATGAAATGAACATATTTGTATATGAAAAGGACACAAGTTTTGGGTGGCCAGGGGTGGAATATAGTGGATTGAATCATGTTCCCCCAAAACTCACTGAAGCTTGAATTGTGTCCACCAAGTTATATGTATTAGAAACTTGGTCTCCACTGTGACTATAAAGAAGGTGGGAAATCCTATTATGGTAATTGAAAGGTGGAGCCTTGAAGAGGTGATTGGATTGTAGGATCATGCAGTAGTGAATGGATTAAAAATGGTGGTCAGGGGAGTGGTTCTGAGGGCTTTAAAAGAAGAGGGAAGAGAGTCTGTCTGTGAAGTATACATAAAGCAAATTTATTCCATAGGACCTGGTTTTCCAAAGCCCTGCAGTTTCAGGTTTAGCCTAACTTCTTAAAAGTACATATAAAAAGTTGACCTTGCAAAAGACAGGAAATTTTCCCCAGGCTATAATCTCTGTTGTAAGATAAAGAATTGTAAAACAGCAAGGTTGCTGGCTCAAAGAGAGACAAGTTACTGATTAATATGTAAAGATACTGGGAAATTGCTGTAGGGAGAGAGAATGTTGGCTAAGATCAAGCTTTTGTTGGTGGATCGGCTTAACCTCTTGCGAATTGCATTACGGAATGTCACCTTGCTTGAATGTTACCTTTACTGAATGTTACCAGCCTATATTGTTAAACTATAACCCCATCTATGTTCTCTTCCTGTAACTTCCTGGTCTGGAGAATAAATGCAGTAAGAGAACCCCAATTCATGGTTAATTTCCCAAAGGAAGTAATGCCTCTCTCTTGAGGGTTCTTGGAGATTAACCCCTTCGGGGTCTCTCACTGCTCAGAAGAGATGGGCTTTGAGTAATCCTTTTTGCAGCTCCATCACCGAGGGGAAGAGAGGTAATAAATCTGTGGGAAGCAAAGCAACATCTGTCTCTCTCTCTTTCTGCTCTCTTTGCTTCCACCATCTTGCAATGTGAGACCCCTGGGTCACTGTCACCACCACCAGATGGACTTTGGACTTCCTAGCCTTAGAAACTGTAAGCAATTGATTTCATTTTCTTTATAAATCACCCAGTTTCAACTATTTCATTATAAGCAACAAAAATGGACTAATACACTGAGAAAACTTATTTTCCTCTTCTTCACTGAGTAATAACTAATAACTCTAATTAAATTTACTCAAATGGATTATGATTTAGGCGTACTGATTATGTGAATATTTTGGATAAATAAAAATTGCTAATACCATGTATTAGATTACCAATTTTCAAAATTTTAGAATCAAATGAAATAGAGAAAATCCCAAATTCACAAATTGGTGTTAAAATAAAAGTTATTTTTGAGACTTACAACACATTTTCCCATAGAATTGTTGTTATTGGTAATGATTAACCCCCAAGTTATTTCATAATCTGCAATATTCCTAAAAACTCTGTACATCTTTATTGAATGTAAAAGCAACCATTTCTATGGGGTCTCTTCTTTTAAATATAATGCACTTAAACATATACCACACACTAGAATGTGCACAATATATATGATAGTAGTTTCAAACGTTGTTCAACATGAGGTGCCAGATGTTTTATTCTTTCAAAATGATATTCACTGAACATGAATCATAAGTCAAGTGCTAAGAAACAAATAAATCATAGCAGCATAACTTCAATCATGTACATTCACATCTCCTATGAGTGTGCCCCTTCCCCATGCAGTTCACTGGCTGGGCAGCTAATGATTTTTTATCCCTATTTCCTAGAGAATGAAGGGCCAGTTGTCAGCTCCTCTGTTCATGGGCCCATCCAGTACACACGGACTCGTGGGATGTGCCAGATCCCCAAGATGCACTAATTAAGCATTAAAGTCAAACATGAGTAATAGTGGATTGGAGGAAAAGCTGGTTTACCTAAAGAAGAAAGGTGATTAGATTAATTTGAAAAGAAATTTGAAAGTTTTTAGGAGTTGATCATGTTTTCTAGTATGCCCTTCATTTCCTTGATCCAGGAAATGAAGGGCATACTATTTTATATATTTCTATTTTATAACTATTTTATATATTTCCCATCATTCTTGATGGTATCTGGGCACAAATAGAAAAAATATTTATGGTCCCAAAATATTCTGAGCACATCTCCAACACTGCTTATCCACATGCTTTTATAATTAGCTGTTGATGGGCCGTCTCCTGCACTAGACAGGAACAACAGGACCACAGGAATGGTGGCTCAATCATCCTTATATCTGCTGGGCTTCACAATGATTGGCACATAAAGTACTTAATGAATGACCCAACCACAAATGTAAAGTTTCTTTTGCATTCTGACTTAATCTCTTTTAAATGTAGACTTGGTCCTTTAGTTTGCCAATGATTATTACTGCAGGAGGGTAGAGCAGAGAGAACTGTATGTAAACTCCTGTAACTAATATCTCAAACTTCAAAGAGCAATGTGTTATATCCACAGAGGGAGGCAAACAGGGGCCCACTCAAAAAATCCGACCCTTGGTTTATGCTCATGTCACACCTTGCCCCCAAACAGTTACCTTGGAAGACTAAATCACCAATACCTAATCTATGTGTAGTCTTACACCACACATCCTGGAATGTGAGAGAGAGAAGGAACCTATGCAATTCAGAACAGGTTAATGAAAGACGTTAAAATATGCAAAAAAGAGAATGCTTTTATGTATGCATGAGCTAGTAAACTTATTGTTACTTTTTATTAAAAATAGAAATCCGACAAATAAGTCAAATAGATTCAAAGAAGATATTACAATATTCACAGATAGTAACTGAAATATGATATTAGTAAATCTAAGTATCTTTATAAACTATACCACTAACCTTTCAAAGCAAAATGAAAAGAGGACTACTATCCTTCAAAATGTTCTCAGTACCACAAGTTACAATCTAAGTAGCTAGGCAGATCAAGGGTCCTAGTCCAGGAAATACATAATCACATATTTTCGTTTTCCTATACATAGTCTGAGAGCAATTTCATACTACACACATTGCTTAGCAAAATAATAAAATAATCTAGTCTTCTCTGTAGCGAGTCTTATTGTCAGATGAAATCTTACTATAAAATGATACAAAGCTATTCCTAGAAAAGTTAAAAGAATTCCCCGTAGTGTTCATTAGCAGATTATAACTTGAATATGTTCAGCATGTGATGCTATGAATGAATAGGGAAATGTTTTAAGTCTCATAATTTAAGCACACAGTATTTTTTATATTAATCTAACTTATAAATGAGACTTAATACAATGATATTCTGGTTAACTGTACCCACCTCTCATTTTCACAGCTTTGCTCTCTTTATTTCAGTATTGAGGATTAGGGGATATAGTAAATGAATGTTAGAAATTGATATAACAGGGCCTTGACATTGAGTCAGTTTCCCAAAGAACTACAGAAATGTAGGAATAACTATGAAACCCATGTCCACTAAGAAGCCTCTATTTTTCTCCTCTATTAAACACCAACAAAAGTAAAGACCTAGGTGCACAAAAAATCGAAAGTCTGCATACACAGTGAGTATGAATTAGACTAACAAGCTCTTTGCTTATTCTGGATGAGAGCTTCCTTTCTGTTGGTCATAAGTTTATATGCAACTTAGATGAAACAAATAGGAAACTGCTTCGTTTTTCTCCTGTTAGTGTTTTGTGGGATTTCTTTCCACTACTCTTTGAAAATGTTGCGGGTAGATCTCGAAGCTCTGTCACTTTCAGGAATGTAAAAGACCAAACCCACATAAAGTAAAATTTCAACCTCACATTCCATTAAAGTTCCCCTGTTTATCCCAGTTCTTGCTGGATCCATGGCTCTGGCTCTTCAGTGGGAAAGAGCTCTTCCAATCCCTCCTGGGACCTATCCACAAATCTTCTGGCACCTCCAGGACTGGGGGTGGGGAGGGAGCTGCTTTAAGGCAAAATGACAGAAGTCTTGCCTTGCTGCTTTAGTCCTTTCTTAGCTAACACAGACTGACAACCACAACTCTATGAAAGTAGCACCCAAATACTCGAGCTTTCCCAGAATCAATATGAGAGTTCCTCAAAGGCATCAGAATTCTACTCTTCACCATTTCTCAACAGAGACAATATATGAGGGTATTTCAAAAAGTTCATGGAGGGCCGGCCCAGTGGCGCACTGCTACAGTGCGCCGCTTGGGAGCGTGGTGGCGCTCCCGCCGAGGGTTCGGATCCCACATACAGACCGGCCGCTCACTGGCTGAGCGAGGTGTGGGTGCAACACCGAGGGTTGCGATCCCGTTGCCGGTCCCGGTCCGGTACGGGCGCGACACTGAGGGTTGCGATCCGTTGCCGGACACGGAAAAAGACAAAAAAAAAAAAAAGTTCATGACAAAAAAAAACGAAAAAAAAAAAAAAAAGTTCATGGAAAAACAGTATTGAAAGATAATACAAATCTTCCCATGAACTTTTTGAAGTACCTCGTACATTCCTGATGGCCTTTTTGATTCTCTCCTAGCTTCACAATGCACCCTGCAGATTGTTTTTTCAAGATGACTCCAATCTAGCTACCTTCTGGGCATCCTTTCTTATCCATGAGATAATTAATCCCCAATGCCAAAATGCATCCAGTGTATAAAATAAGTTAATGTCTCTCCTATGCATAGACAATAATAAAGAAATCCCACAAAACACTCACAGGAGAAAAATGAAACAGTACCATTCTTGGGAAGATTAAGAAAAATAGTCACTCAAATCACTTCCTATGATTCAGATTGAGAAAGATTGCTGGAGTATCGACCTGACCCACTGGAAACACATACGTTCTTATCATTTTCATCCCAAATGTTGGCAGAGCAGTCTGATACCCTCTCTGCTCTTTACCATTACAAAAAATCATAGTCAATTTCCTGTGTTCCAAATTTTCAAGGACAGAAGCAGGTACTAGTCTCTGTATTTACATAGCCCCAGGGAGCACAGACCAGTCTCTCTCTCACTGCACTACCCTCCAGTAGGAGCACAAGGAAGCCTACAAATTTCTCCCCTTCAAGAAGCATCTACGTGTGTGTGTGTGTGTGTGTGTGTGTGTTGCGCGCGCGCACACAGCACTTGGAATAGTTCCTAAAACTTCGTAAGTACTAATACGTTTCTGCGACTATCTAGACAAAAATATATTATCTCCAAATAGCAATATACTTATTCATTTATAATCTGCAAATGCATTATTCAATAATTATTTTTCATTTTCTAAGGCATTTTTCATGGTTGCATTTAAATAGCTGAGTAAGATTTTAACTGATCATGAGGCAAACAAGGGCTCTCATGAGAGGGTTTTACTGGACTAGCCAGGAAACTGAAGAAATGCCACAAACCTGATGGCTAATTGGCACCGTGCCCACTACGTATCTGGCACCATCTTTGACTACTAGCTGCTTCTCTGCATCTTCAGTAACAATCGGCTGTTTGTTATGATAAGACGATATTCTAAATCCAACAGCCACATCTCCAAATGTTCCAGCAAGTCGGGTTATATTAATTTGGATAGATCTAATAAGGTTATAAGCGATAAGTATTGACTGGTGATCTGAATACAGGGCAAATACTCCATGTGGATCATCATTCGCAGAAACAGAGAACCATGTAGTGCATTTTTCCGAATCCAGTTCTGCTCCTCCCTCTACAGAAACAAGCTGAATCACATAATCTTCTTCTGTCTCAGGTATATCATCTGGTAGCAAATGAACAGCAAAGCTGGCTTCACTCTCTCCATCAGCAATAGTGAAAAATCCATTTGTGGAAAAAAAGTCTCCGGTAATATCAAACTCACTACTTAATTCCCAGTAAACCTAAAAAAAAATAAAACCCAAAAAACAACCACAAAGTTATATAATTCAATATATTGAACCAAAATCCTTTAAGTTATATTTTCCTCTGTAATGTACAAAGAGAAATTTTAATTGTGCATCATTATATTCAAAGCCAAACTCTCCAAGTATATGTTAGTTTGGAAAGTAAATTAAGTTTCTCAGGCTGTTGTACACAATTTGCAGGACAAGATTACTAAATCTCATTATTTCCCCTGCTTCTAAAATAATAGCACAATTTGAAGAGACAAAGGAAAGAAAGTTAACTTTAAAATGCCAGTTCCATAAATACATTCTTCACTAGTGAAACATACACAATATTTGAGGGTAAAAAGTAGATAATTTAACAATTCACATCATAATTTGTTTTTGTTTTTAACAAAAAGGGAATAGCTATAAGATATCAAGAATTTATCATTATTTTCCAAAAATTGTTGGCCTCCAAACTGAAGACGTACCAGGTAATCTCCAATACAGGAAGAGAGGTAAGTGTATAGAGAAATGCCACAAAATATATTTTTCTAACAAGCGAATTACCTCTTAGCCAAATATCATGAGGACTCCTAAGGGCATCCCCAATCATTCTATATAAATAATCACACAACGGCAACATATTAAAAAATAGTTGTTAAATGGAAAAATTCTATTGAGAAATAAAGCCCTGAAGAACATTTTAAGCAATTTACAAAAATCAGTGAGAGGCTTAAGTAGGAAAGGCTTCATGTTATAACAAACAACAAAATACAGAATAGTTCAGTCCTTCATGAGTAAGTGTGAAGAAGATTTTTCTGTACTAACTGTAACTAAATTTAATTTAGAGAGATAGCTAGAGGTCGATGCTGGCTGAAGAGCTCGGCTGTGCTTAAATGAAGCCTTTCAGTATCTCTGAAAACTCAGGTAACTTCAGTTTCTCAAAACTTTAGTTAAACCAGAACGTGCAGTTTCTCTGTCCCTCTTCACCGTAGTTGTTAGGCAAATTGGCACTCTACTTACAAAAATCAAAATGAAAAATAATACCGTAATCTCTCCAGAGGTGCCCTTAACTCTTTTGACAAAGAAAATAATGATCAGGGGCCCTTCCAAAGCCGGTGGCTCCAAATAGGTCTTCTTGGATAAAGACTCAGGAGCAAACTGAACAACTCCATTTGGATCACCAAACTTTTGTATCTAAAATATATAAACAGAGAGCAGAGTAAATACATAGAACCACTATGGATGAAATTACACTATCCAATGTACTAATACACAGATAAGCTGAGGAAATGAAAGAAACAGAAATGACATTTGAGTATAATCCACTTGGCTACCTGATTTTTTAAAAACTTCTTTATTACACTGACTGTTGTCTAAACAAGTAGATTCTTATTCCCCAAGGATAATGGGAATTAGTATCCAGAAAATTCCAGTTTGTATCATCCCAAAAAGATAGGATAAAGGATTTTGCTTTCTTCATCTCACATTTGGTACATTTAGCCAATTAATTTCAGCTAATTTCTTTCTACTAGCGATGGCATAACATGGAGAGAAGCAAAAAAGCCCTATGATGGTGAATTATATGCGTCAACTAGGCAAGGCTAAGGTGCCCAGCTGTTTGGTCAAACACTAGTCTAGATGTTGCTGTGAAGGTATTTTGTAGATGTGATTAACATTTACAATCATTTGACTCTAAGGAGATTATCCTCGGTAATGTAGGTGGGCCTCATCCATGCAACTGATGACCTTAAAAGCAAAAACTGAGGTTTCCTGGAAAGCAGGAACTCTCCACGCTGTAATTTAAGAATCCTGCTTGAGTTTCCAGGCTACTGACCTGCCCTTCAACTCTTTTCTGAGTTTCCTGCCTGCCAGCCTATTCTGTGGATTTTGGATTTGACAGCTCCCACAATGATGTGAACCAATTCCTTAAAGTGTTTCTCTCTTTTTCCTTCTGTGTGCGTACGTGCATGCACGCGTGTGTGTGTGTGTAGTCTATTGGTTCCATTTCTCTGGAAAACTCTTACCGATATTTACCCCAAATGTGAGTATTTTGCAAACTTAAAAAAAAAAAAAGAATCATGTCTCTTCATTGTTTACAGTAGCCCCTGATGAACTGGGTGGTTCATATCAAATACACTAAATTCAGGGCTGATCCACCACCACGTCATTGTGCTAACTAAACAAGTACCATTATTCCTTCAAACAATCTGACTTACAACTAGTTTATAATTTTTATGTACTTTAATGACAAAGATATCCAATGTTTAGGATGATAGAACAAATACCTCCTCTCTAAAATTGCTGAATACTCCAAAAACACCAAATTTTCTCAAGGGCTATGAAATAAGTATTTTTCACTATACTAAAAATTTTTTTAAATTGCCAATAATCAGCCAATTTTATATAATGAACTAACATAAAAACCAGAAAGTTTGACCTATCAGAATTATTATGACTTCATTTGGTTTTATAATTTTCAGTTCATCATAAGCATGTAGAGTTTCTACAAATGTAAATGTATTTTCTGATAAATCATTAAATTCAAAATTTTGTGGGAAAAATAAAGTCAGACTTACTGTTAATGTAACATCTTTAGCTCTGGAGTCTAATTTAGCTTCTCCTTTCACAAGTTTAAGTTTAATAACAAAAGTCTCTTCAACTTCAATTTCTTCATGAGGATAGATTGTCAGAATTATGGTTCTCACTCCACCTTCCCCCTCTCCAAAATAGAAGGACCCGTTCACTGGGCTCGCAACGTCTCTGTTCTCTGGTGGTAAGGCTTCCTGAGAACTGGGTCCTACTATCTCCCAGTTCACCTGCAGAATGTTTTTGTTTTTTGTTTTTTAATAGAGATAATCAGTTTGAAGCAAAGAATTACTGTAGGATATACAGGATTAGATAAAATATACATATATATGACAACTATAGAATATCTCCAGCAAATTCCCGTTTCATCAACTCATATATTTGTTAAAAATAATAACATTTGCAAATAACTACATATCTATAGAATATCAGTTTTCATGGATAACATTATCTAACAGGAGAAGAAAAACATTAATACCTAATCATTTGTCATTGCCACAGCATAACAAAATATAAATATATTTCATAAGTATAAGAGAAATTTAAACATTTTAAAAATATAAGAGTACAATACTGTCCTGCTGCAAATCAAAACCTATATGAATAAGACAATAAAACCATGTGAAAAGTCTGCTGGGTGTGCAGTCTCTTCTAAATACTGGTTCCAGGACCATCGATACCAAAATCCTGGGATACTCAAAATGGTGTAATATTTGCATATAACCTACACACATCTTCCCGTACACTTTAAATCATCTCTAGATCACTTACAATACCTAATACAATGTAAATGCTATGTAAATAGTTGTTATACTGCATTGTTCAGGGAATAATGATAAGAAAAAAAGTCTGTACATGTTTAGTACAGACACAATTTCTTTTCCAAGTAGTTTTGATTTGCAGTTGATTGAATCCATGAGTATGGAACTCACAGACAGGGAAGTTTGAGTTTATATTTAATTTCCTAGCATAAAATGAACAGGAATCTTCACAAGTTCTTACAAGAAAGAAATTTTTGTTATAATAAACGTACTCTTTAAGTTTGTATAATTTAAATTTGTGTGCTTTTTGTATCATCTATAAAGGTTTCATTTTGCTTCTAACTTGATCTTTCATCAGCGCTGAACACAGCTGACCCATTTCCTTCTCCTGGAAACACTGTGTCCTGTCCTTCTCAGCTTATGTGACACTCACACGATACATGCCTTCCTAGTTTTCCCTTACTCCTCAGTCTTCTTTGCTGGCTCCCCTCCTCTCATCCCTAAATGCTGGGTGCCCAGGGCTTGGCTCTGTATCCTTCACATTTCTATCTACACTTCGTAGGCCCATGGCTTCCAATGCCTCCCTATGCGTCAACACCTTCCCAATCTATGTCTGTAGACCTGACACACACACACCAAACACTCACACATCCCCTGCCTACCTGACTCCTCCACTGTGATGTCTAGTAGCCTCTCAAATGAACACAGCCAAACAGAACTCTTGACTTTGCCCAAAGCTTCTGCATCTCCCTAAACAGCACTACGATCTGTCCAGCTGCTCAAACTACAATTCTAGCAGGTATCCTTGATTTCCTCTCTTTCCCTCAGACTCCATTTCCAGCTCAATGAATTTTTCCTCCAAAACATATTCAACATCTGTTTACTTCTCACCATCTCTTTCTCCTCCAGTCTTGTTTGAGTCACCATCAATTCTGACTTGGACACTAAAGAGCGACAGCTCCTAACCATCCTTTCTGCTTCTGCGCCACCCCACCAGCTTCCTGACAATCCATTTTCTTCACAGCAGTCAGCAGTGAGCTGCTGTAAACGGCAATCCGGTGACATTATTCCCCTGCTTAAAACTCTCTAATGGCATCCTATTTGCACTTAGAATAAAATCTTTAACCTGGCACAGGAAGTTCTATGTGATCAAACACCTGTTGAGCCCTCTGCTAGCTTGTCTGTTATCCCCTCACCTCCCAGGCCCCACCACAGGGGCCTCTCCATCCCTCAAACGTGCCAGGTGTGCCTCTGCAGGAGTATGATTCCTTCTGCCCAAATGCTCACCCCTCCAACAATGACATGTTCACTTCTTTGTCAATACCCAGCTTTCAGTTTAAATATCACACCCTCGCCACCCAATCAAAAGAGCCAGCAGGTCACTCCCAATTGTGTCTCCCTTTTACAAGCAGAACCATTATTGTTATCAGATCATTTTCTTTTTACTTATTTGTTTACTATTCAACTCTGCTTACTAAAATGAAAAGTCTATGAGGACAGAGTGAGGTCTTCCTAGTTTACCAGTATGTTCTCAGTACCTAGAACAGGGTCTGGTACATAGAAAGCACTCAACAAATATTTATTGAATTGCTGAATTTTACCAGAATCATTCACGTAATTTCTAACTTGCTCTCAAGAGTTCCCTGAAAACAGCTGTTGCCTCACACATTTTTATGCACTTCATCGAACTCAGAAGCTACTTTCCACTTACAAGGTAATTAATAAATATTACTCATTGATTATGAACAACTAAATGAATATATTGCAGAATAAGAAAATCTAACACCATACTCAGTCTATCAAAAATTGTTTTTAAAACCACGGGAAGAATAACTCTACCTGAATTTCTCCCAAGAGTCCTCCAGTCCGCTCCAGCACCAAGGATAAAATCATTGTAGAATTGGGGTTAGGAACAGAAATTTTGCTTTGATTGAGAAATCTTACAACGCCAAAGGGAGAGTCACTCTTGGCAATCGTGATTCTGCTCACTAGGTGGCGCCCAAGGACCGCTCCACCAGTAGCTCCAGTGAGCAGAATTTCAATCGGCTCCTCAAATTCGCTGCATAGCAAGAAGGAGCAATTCTGTGAGTCTAAACATATTAAAGTGCTTGTAAAATCCAAATAACTAGTCATTTTCCAAATTGGTCATACATATTCAAGGCACAGTAGTCACAAACCAAGTGTAAGGAGAGGGTGCTCAGCTAAAAGCATGAATGATCAACATCAATATTACATAACCTAGGACAGTTATTAGACTTTCCTCCCCTCTTTTTAATTGCTTAATGCATTAAGGAACTAAATTGAAGGATGTTTCCACATTCTGATTAGAATTTTTAAGTCTAGAGGAACATAAATTGTTTCCTCTATTTGAAACAAAGTGACATATGCAACCACAGTGGTCTCCCAACCCCTCTTTCCCTAGCCGCAGGACCCCCAAAAGTCATCTGTTGTTTCTCAATGGGCACATGTATTATCTAAAATTTTATTATGAGTGAAAAACATATGTAAGGGATAGAACGCAATATTCACGCTTTATGTAAGCTACGTTATTCCCTATGTTACTGACCTTTCATTGTCATCGATGATGGAGACATTTATAAAACTTAAGTTCTGCCCATGCTGAAAGGTGACTGAACTGCCATGCAGTACATAATCCACACCTCCGGGAACAGCAGAGGAGCTCTGAGAGATGAAGTCAGCTGTCACATGGCCGTAAGTTCCATGCAGTCTCACCACCGGGATCATGACCATCCCAATATCTTCCTCCACTGCAATAGGAATCTAGAATTAACTGGTATGCCAGACAAAGCAACTAATTTTTATAAGATTCCGCAAAATTAATCCAACTAAATATAATGGTATGAGGTAAGCACTCAATTTTTCCATAGTTCATTTATCACTTTAAAAAAATGATTAGTGAAAATTTCATCACTCATTTTTTTAGAAAGAATACAGCTTACCAGATGTTGAAAGTTATAGTAAGCAGTAAAAGTTAGAATTTAAATAACTTATTCAATCATTAGCATAGACATTCTTTCTCTGTGTGAGTGAGAGCATATAAATAAATGACCCTTGTTTTCTAAGACAATGCTAGATGAACACCAAAAACACTTAAAATAGTGTACTCAAAGGAAACCATTCTGGATTGCTTCTACACACTTAGTTGAAATATAAACAATATAAATAAATGAGGTTTATGCTATTTATATCATATAAATCTTTTTAAAGTCCAGATATAAATACAATATTACATTTTCAGCTCCTATGAAATCTACTTGTGAATCTGAAAATGCATCCACATTGTTAGATTTCAACTTAAAAATTCTTTTCAAAAATACCTTTATCTCTTCTTAAGCTATGCTAATGTCTGCATATTAAAATATCATTTAATAGAATTCACATTAGCTATGGCTAAATAATACTGAACTTACATTGTAATGATAAATATCCATTGCCCCAAATTCCCCAAAGACAGTGAATCAAACAGAAATCAGTAAACAGAAAAAAAAAAAAAAATTCAAATTCCCATTTATTTCTTAATGCAAAAATGCAACCTGATTTTTACTAGCTGTAGACTGAAGTTCACAAAATAGTAATGTCTTCCATGACTTACTCATAAAGTCATTATAAACCAACTCCTAACGCAATTTTTGGTGAATTTTTTAAATGGCTACTGATGGAGTTTGGATGTGTTGTCCCCTCCAAAACTCATGTGGAAATTTGATCTCCAATGTGGCAGTGTTGGAAACTGATTGAGTCATGGGGGCGAATCCCTCATGAATGGATTAATGCTCTCCCTGGGGGAGGAGGGGTAGTGAGTGAGTTCTGGCTCTATTAGTTCCCACGAAAGCTTGTTGTATAAAGGACCCTGGCACCTCCTCTCTCTCTCTCTTGCTTCCTCTCACCATGTGATCTGCTTGTACCCACCAGCTGCCTGCTGTTTTTCCACCATGAGTAGAAGCAGCCTGAGGCCTGTGCCAGATGCAGCTGTCCCAGAATCATAAGCCAAATAAACCTCTTTCCTTTATAAATTACCCAGTCTCAGGTACTTCTGTCATAGCAACACAAAATGGACTAAAACAGCTACATAATCAAAAAATTTTGATAGAGGCAATAGCCAGTAAATCAATTGCAGCATCAAGATAACATATTTATTTTTAAAGTTATATGCATATTCTGCTGTTGAATAAAATCATTTTCCAGTAAGGTAACCCATCTGTCTCTTCCGAGGAGAGAATATAGCCATATATTCTGTACTTTGCTTCCACAGGAGGGGAGAACTGGCAATATTAGGCAAGCTGCAATCAGAAACTGTTTTGAGAAAGTAAGATCAAGGATCCATATACTACCTGCATCTGCAGTCCAGTAAAATATTCATTTCAAAGGTGATTAGTCATTAGAAAGTGAATATTCACTAATTTCTAATCACATAGGAAGTTAAATATTGCCTAAATTAGAAAGGTTTTCATAAAAATGTTTGAAACAAACATTTTAATAATCCTAAGGTTATACATAATTTTTCTAGGTTGCCTCATTCCTAACCATTTAGCTTTGCCATACACAGTAAGGTTCAAGCCTACCCAAAGGCAACTGAAAATATATTTTAGGGTAATTAAATAAATAAAAATATAAAATAAATATTTGAAAAATAAATATAAATATGTACATACACATACACTCAACCAAGAAAATTTATACATGGAAATTCAAACTGAGTGTCATGTTCAGATATTTTGTAATTCAAAAAGACGTGGTAAACTTACTTACTTACTTACTTACTTACTTACAAGGAAGCTAACGGAACCTACCTTCGAAGGCAGTATACTTCGGGTCAAATTCAATGATGCCCTCTGAATTATCATTTTTCACTATTATGATTTGAACAATGGAGATGTTTCCTATTTCAGGAGGTTGATCTATCTGAAGTCCATTTTCTCTGATGGTAAAATCATACCCTCTTGCAAAGTCATAAAAAGTAAAATAAATATACAACAAAACAAAATAAAATAAATACATAATTACTTAGCATGAATTAAAAGGTCCTCTTAGCTCCTATTACTTAATTCTAGTTAAGTGTTGTAATACTTTTAAAGAGCCTCAACACCAAGATACTCTTTTTTTTCTGAAACATTTTAAAACAGACTTCTGTGCTGCTCCCAGTTATTGCTGCCTGCGTGAAACCAAAACTAATATAAAGTTACTAAACTTGGAAAATGGGAAGATAATAAACTATTAGGAAATTGGGAAGAAGCTGTTATAAAACAAACTTTGGGTAGAGTCTGCTCAAACTTAGTAAACCAGCTGGCCTAAAGATTTACAGTGTTAGGTTAAGAGGATTACTTTAAAGAAATAATGAGTGTCATCTCACTAATCAAATTTCATGACAGCTATCAAGATTCAAGAAAATATTTTAATTTCTGTGGAAACCAATTAAAATCAATGCTACTATTCTTTAATACAGATGGTAGTTTACTTGTGTAATGACATATTTCTACAAAAGAAGATTCTTTTTTAGATTGATATTATTCACATCAAACAAAAGTTTTGACTTCCGGGAGTTTGTTACCTTAATTCAAGAAGCTAAAAAATGGCACTAAACCATTTTAGCTCTTCCTTCAACTCCCAGATTTTATTTAACTGGTACTTAACGTATTGAAAGTTTAAAAGCTGGTTAATAAGATTATATATAAGGTAAAATTAGAAAACAGGATTAAAATAATAAATGATAAGAATGACTGCAGTAGTCTGAAATGGGTTGTAGGTTAGCTTAGTATCATAACTGAATACCAAAGCAGTGTGT